TATTTTCCCTGTGTCTTACACTAATGTATTTTACATTTGTATTTCACAGTACTCTCTTTCTTGATTTTTGAGTCATTTTAAACTCTTTACATTGTTTTTTTACATTTTCTATAATCGATTCGTTAAATCATTTGGATCATGAATATACAGTATTATTGATAAGGAAAAAACTGAAAAAAGCATTTCATGAACTGGCAAGAGCATTGTTAAGCAAAAATATTCCTCTACTAACATCATTATAGTTATATTTTAAAATAATATCCTAATTTTGGTCTTCAAACAGCTTTTGTATTTACTGTACATCAGCTAAAAAAACTGCAGTGCTAATACAGATAGAATGATGATGTTAGTGAAAGAATTAAAGTTGAAGCTTAGACAATGACCTTCTGTTCCTTCAAAATGTGACACCTTGTCAGTGCTGACACACAAAATAGGAAGAAATAATCACTAAACAATACATTTTTCACATAAATTTCAAATGAGCCCAAAGATGAGACATCTAAAATCTCAAGACAACACAGGCTCTGTATTGTATCACTAAGAACATCCTTCATTAATACTCCAAATGTAGAGGTAATACAGTGTTTTAAAATGGTATGTTTTCACAGCATAAAACATTCATGAAGTGCTGTAAAATAGTTGAACCCTGACATTTTAAATTCCTTGATTTATTTCTCAGAATAGATTTTTCTTCTCAATAGAATAGGATCGTAATGCAGATGTGACTGATAAGACAAGCTCACATCTTATGCCTCCTGCAGACTACGCATCTTCAATTGAAGCCATGTCTCAACTTGTTATAGAACAGAATGTGTGCAAACTACTTTGCCACTTGACTGGTGGCATTTACCTAGAGTTAACAAGATCCAGCAGGAAAGCGCTAATCACAAGATAAATGGAACAGCCTGCTCGAAAGGGCAAGAGCACTGTCTCAAGTGCCTGTCAATTGTCCCTCAGACTTTTTGGCTACCTTCTTTTAAACACAAGTAAAGCCATACTGCTCTTTTCCAAACAGTATGAAATAGCGGCAAAGGTAAATTCATAAATCACCTGCAAATCGATTTTTCCATTTTTCTGCAATATGCTGCCAAGGCTTTTAAATAATTATTAGGCAGCGTTTAACTGCCTTATACCAACATCACAGAAAACCAACATCTCCTAAGATAAGAATAAAAAAAAAGCTTTTCCTTCTTAACAAGAGGGTATTTAAAAAGATGATTAATGGATGCAACCTACACAAAACATTTTTCATTTATTCATATTTTGCCGACTGCTTTCTGATCACAGGAGATAGCACATTTACTGTATAACTTCCTATTAGGGACGTCCTACAAAGTTTCTACTTGTCCTATCATTTACCAGACTTTAAAGATCGAATAATCTTAAACTGTGGCAACAAGTTTATCTTAATGACTGAGTAAGACATACTGTAAACAGGAACATATAAAACTATTTGTTAAATGCAAATAAAACATCCCAGGCATTTCTCCTTGCTTGCCTGCACAGTATAAACTTTATTATTGCTATAAAGGGAAACCATTTTGGGATAGTACAAGCATATTGCTCTGTGCTGTTTTTCTATAAAAAAGTCGAAAAAGACTTTCAAAAAGAGATATTTCTCATTGAAGTCTTTAAAGGAACTTGTCTAAAGGGAATAGCAATTTATCCAGGACCATGAGGAATTCATAGAGACCAAAAAGAAACATGCTAACCATTTGAAATATACTTGTTGTTTGGATATATTACCACAGATATTTTTTCTTCATTGCCTGAAGTTAAACCTTTCCCTGTGTTTGAAACGATACAGCTGAATACTGTATGTAACACAAATATTCAGATCCCTGACCACCTGCATTATGGAATCTAAAAGATAGTCACAAAGATCAGTTCTGCATTACTCAAACTGAGCTGAGCTACCAAGCCCCAGAAATACCTGAACACAAAGTGAACCTACAGCCCATCTCTGCCTGACCAGTGTTATCTAAGAGGATGGTGTAGTAGATATATAATTGGACACTAGGTGACATTAATTTAAATCTACAATATAAAAAGCAACACACTTTTTTCTCACGTAGTGTATCTGTAATATTGTTTAACATAGTGACACCTGGGCTGCTCTGTTGACAGATTTGCTCTCTGTGAATCTCATTAATAGGATCCTTGCCTGAGGCCTTGTTGTTTCATAGTATTTTACAGTTTGGTTTAGTCTTTGCTATTGCTTTGCTCTTGGCTAGTATTCTTCTAAAAATGCTTGCAACTTAATGACTTTCAAAAACGTTTTCCGAATATATAAAAGGAAAAACAAATAAACCAACAAACAGCAACATCTCATTCTAAGATCCAAAGTGTAAATCAAGATTAATCTGGGTTGGGGGTTTTGGCAGAAGTTCTCTATTATTTTTGCACTTCATGAAAAAGTCCTACACACTCAAAACAAAATACAACACTCACCAAAAAATGTGACTTGGCAAAAGCAGTTGCTTGAGGGATGTGCTGCAAAAATAATTGTACCCTAGCAATTTAAATGTCTCACTTTATTCCAGCTTCCTTTTGCAAATTCTTTATGGAACATTTGTTTTTTTAGTCTCTATAGGAGTTCAACAGCCACAGCAATTATTACACAAACCGCAGCTGGGATTTTAACTCGCAAATGCACAAGAAGTACAAATCCTGATCTACTTTTGTTCTGGGCAACCTGTCAGATAATTTGATAGGCCTGCATTACAGTGGTGTAAGTGGTGGCTAACCTGACCAGCAACTGAAGCAGGCCGCACTGCTGTGACATTACAAATATAGAGGAAAATTGATTTTTTCCAAGTAAACAGTCTCAGCTGTATGCTTTCCGCACATGTAAACCTCTTCCCCTTTCTAAATTATTGAACACCTATCCCCTGGATGTTATGTAGTTTTCAGTCACGGAAGTCCTGTCTCGTCTCTGTTTCATTGCCGCAGGGGTAATTGTGCAGCACGTGCCAGCAGGGGAGAGAGTGGCAAACACCACAGTCCCTCTGCAGAGGGCTGCAGGAGCACTGGCGCCCCCTGTGGGCCAGCAGCACCCACCGACAGTCTCGCCAAGCATGCAGGAGTGGACTGACAAAGAGTTGCATGTGGCCATGTTTTAACTTTCCTGCAGAGGTAGTCTGCACAGAAGGATAAAAGTGCCAGCAAAACAGCAAAGGGAAGGCAGGGCTGGCACAAAGGAGCAAGAAGAAATACCCATCAGGGAAATCTGACGAGTGTGGGAAAACTGTCCCTTTCACTCTTTAATGAAGGTGAACACAGCTCACAGTGGTGCAAGAGGGAAAAACTGCAGAATTGGGAAAAAAATGATGCAAAACAAAATAGAAGTGTTGTGTATGCAAACAAAAACAAAATATTTATGAAAGGGACAAATGCACTGATACGCTGATGTCATATTACATTAGCAGGAAATGTGATAAATTACCACCTCTCTGGGCTAATGAGAATTCTTCTCTTTATTAAAAAAGAACACCTATACTGTATGCAATGAAATGCATTAGTCCTATTTAATGAACACTTAATGGAATACACATGGGGAAAAATATATAATGGAAATGTGCTGATAACATGCTCAAACAAGCAGGTGTACAGTAGTTAGGCTATAGAGCAATCATTTGCATTGACTAAGAACTGAAGAGATTCTTAGTCAAACCAGGCACAAGCTAAAGTAAGTGGCTTCATACAACCAAAAAGTCAATTAGCAAATTGAAAAAAACAACAACTCAAAATCAAGAAACAACCTATTTGGATGATCTTGCATTAGTGGTCTTCATTTCTCATTGTTTGATACTGGGAATATGGAACAAGCTGTCCAGCCATGTTGTTGAATGATACTCTGTGTTCCTTGAAGAAATGGCTGTATGAAATCCTTGGATTATTATTTACTAACTACCAAATGGGCTAGAAGTGCCAAATGCTCTTGTCTCCTTGTATCCTTTATTATTTTTCTCTGTGTTATAGTTACTACATGATAGATATTTTGAAAGGGACACTTTACCCAGGATGCATGGATAACAGCCGCCTTTCTATTCTTCTACAGACTCGAACCTAAAACATGCCTACATGAGTTTTTATTAAATTGTCTGCAAGCTGCAAAAACTGAGCCCTCAAGGCACAGAGTGTGCATTAATTGGTACTGTTCATACGTGTGTGTCAAAGAGAAAAGGAGGAGACTACAACAGTGAATAGCTGCACGAACACAAATTTCATCAGGAGGTGAAACCATCATACTGTCAGTCTCTCAGTTTCTCCTTTGGACCCCCTGTGTGTTCTGGTTCTCATGCCAGCTGAGCACTTAATTACTTGCTTATTACTTATTGAACCTTTAATTGAACTATTTTCCTAATTGGATCTTCTTAACTATGTCTTCACTCAATCCTCGGTTCCCAGAAATAACTTGCTTTAAGTGTTCAGTTGCTTTGGCAAACAAAGCTCAGCCTGTCCTCAGCTTTTTCAATAAATTGATTCCTCTGCAGCTGTCTAACACCTTTAAAATGGTTACCAGGTAATTCTGCATTGTCGCACAGTTTCAAACACTTCCATAGTAAGTGGTTCTTGCGATGCACAGGATCGGTTGCCAATTGAATGGAACACCTTACTGTATGTAAATTTTCCCCTTTAGTTTTGATTTATCATTACTTAAGCTCTATTGTATTAAGCACATTGAGCTCAGTATCCAATGAAGGGGAAAATAATCCATATTTAATGCTTATGTTATTCAGCCACCCCAAGGTGCTTAAATACCAGATGCACAGGCATTCAAATAATGTACCTAATTGATTTTTGAAACCCAGTAATTGATATACTTTGCAAATTTTTAAAGAGGTAGAGAAACTCTGTACCTCTTGTTTAAATTAAAATCCAATAGTTTAACTAATCAATTAGATACAAGGGGTTCAGAGCAGAAGGTCTGAGCGACCTTACATACTGTAGATGGACTTGAAGGACCAGATACTGAATCGTTTGTGTGTGTGCATTAGGGTCTGCAGCTTGGTACCCGGGAGCTGGAGGAGATGGGGGCAAAGTTCTGCCAGAGTCTGCTGTCTCTGAAAGGGAACACTCTGCTCTACAGCAAGAAGCTCATTAAACACGCTTCTGCGCTTCTCAACCTGGACGACAACATCCTAGATCACAAGTCCCACAGGTGAGTCCACTGCCTCGCTTCTGCTAAATGGTCTAAGCAAAGTGAGGTATAATATGTCAGTGGCTAAAACACTGGAAAGCCCATCCCACTTCATAGACAGACTCAGTGGTAGACAATGCCTGCTTGTCTCGAGGGGCAGGAGACAGACTTCTATGATCTAACCTGGCCAGAACAATCATCAGTATCTTAATTAACAAGTGAAATGTGCTGTTTAATCCTACAAGCCGTTGCTCTCATCACAACCTGATTTGAACCTCATGCTGCTTGAAGAACTGGATGGGAATGGGGTATGACATTTCAAAACACTGAAACATTGAAACACGGAGAAAAGGAAGCATGAGACATCTGTGAAACAAAAAAAAAACTGAACTGAACTGTTACACTGAATTTGCTGTTAAGAACATTAAAGTCTCCCTCATCAGGGGGAGTGACATTTTAATTTTTTGGCTTAACTGCAGCTTGTGTGAAGGTGATGTATTATTCTGATTCTCTGTTTATACTGTACTTTTATCAGTATGTCTCCTTGTTTCTTTGGCTGATCTTATGGAAATACAGTATGTGATGGTCAGGGAGACAGATTACTAATTTGATTTTATCGTTTCTGACTTTTACTGTACATGACATACCTTTTTAAACCTTGTGCAAAAATAGTATCTTGTGCCTCTGAAACTTCAGTTGTACACAAGCTATGGGTTGTGATGAGAGCCCGTCTGACCTTGGTTCTCCGTCATGCCTGGTATACTGACATACACTGCTCCCCTGTGAAATCTGTGCAATTGTAATGGAATTGGAGACACCTCATGTTTTAAAAGCAACATTGAAGATAGAAAGCTTCCAGAAATTTCCAGTTCCTCAACTTTCTTACAAGAGCTATAGATTGCAGAATATTTGTAGGCTAGTCTCATCACATATAATTGTCTAAACTGTTCTGTTAATTTAAAGGTTTTTAGATCCCCTTTGCATGTATTTGAATTGGTACCTCATATTTTCATAAAGATCTCATATCCAGGTTCCTTTTTGTCCCTGCAGTGAAGTAGAGTCTTTGCCTAGAGTATTATATAACCCCAACACAGAATACAGTCCAGTATTGTTTCTGGATAACCTACTAATCAGTGTGACTTCTGAAATACATTTTTACATTCTGCAATCATTTCTGCCAGAGAAACCAATCAAATGGTAATTGAAAATAAAAGAGTGCTTTCAGCAACCTTGAATACAAAACACATACAGTACTTAAACCTTTTGTTTGCAGCTGGAGTAACTAACTCTACTGCATTTACTGCACTGCTCATTAAACATGTTTTAGTTTTGGTAAAGCATTATTTGAAATAGATTATTTTCTTCCGAAGCTTATTGTGTTATTCATATATCCATACACAGTACAGTATTTGGAACAATTATGTAACAAAACACTCATCCATCATAATGAAAATCATTGCCTATTCCTCTTCCTTCACTGTAAATCAATGCATTGATTTTAGCTCCTGGGATGCCAGGTAAAATAAAATATATAATTTGAAATTCTATAGGCCTTGATAAAAAGTGTAGATTATGTATGAATTGTACATTATGATAAAGAATGGCTGCCGTCTTTTAAGTGGTCAAACCATTTTTTGCTTATAATCCTACATGAGCACCAAGGATTGTATCATCTGTCACAAAACAAAATGTATTGCCTCTTCTGAACCTCTTGTTTCCAAATGTTTAATCCAATAAATTATTTCTTAAAAGCTGTAAACAAAATGTTTTACAGGCTTGTTAAAGGTGGGTTTCCAGATTTTGTTTGTGAGAAGTGACCACAGTGGATTCCTCTATCATGAGCTCTTTGACCTTATGTTTTCAGGGGCTTTGCAAAATTACTGTAATGAACTCTCAGATCAAAGAAAGGCAACATAAAACATAGCTGAAGCTTTCATTCTTTTTATGCTGCAGTAGGGTGCAATTCAAATAAATTAAATAGGTGTGTGGATGTTTATGGAAAGCGTACTCTCTAAAGTATAGTAAAGCAAGGATATGGAGTCACACCTAGAAATTTAAAAGGAATAAATTTAGGACAGGACACACATGAATTATAGGAATTGTAATTGGATGGCTTCACCTGATTTTCATCCCTTCTTACATTCTTAAAGTATGCATACGGTCATGAGTGGATATGAATCACACATCAGTGTACAAATCTAATTCAGAGCAAACATTGTTCTTATATTGATTTAGATGTGCAACTCTAATAAACTGTCAGTTTGGTCCTTGAGTCTGTGAGAAAACAGGCTAACGTGTCATCTGCAAAAGTTGTTGTTGGAGGATAGATTATTTATGACTACGGGTTTCTTCGAATTTTGCTCAAAAGTAAGGGTTCTCTTCCTATTTTTATGGGTTGTGGTTGTATTGGAAGAGGACAGTGGGAGTGTGGAACAAACTATCATGCTGGAGTATCAAGCTATTATATTGTACTGTACAGAGAATGTTGTTGAAGATGAAACCATGTACTCTTTCAAGAAACACCTGGATGAGATTCTCCAATTAGAATAGAACCTTCTTTTTATGAAAATGTTGTTTGGATTGACCCTCAGATCAATTAGCTACTACTATAACTACCAAACGAGCTAGATGGCTCAAATGACCTCCACTCATCTGAAACCTTTCCTGTGTTCTTACCAATGGGCAGATAAAGATTTGACCTTAATATTACCACTGTAAGGGATTAATCTAAAATGTTATGCCTATGGGTGTCGTTTGTCCTAAAATGTGAGATGAAAGCTCAATATTTGTAGTCAAAATCCACAGAAAGGAAGTGAATTGTTACTAGGTATTCAGTTTATTGTGCATACATTAGAGGTTAGTAGACTTCACTGTCAAAAAATGAGAAAGAATCCCTGGTTATAAAGGAAAAAGCCACATTGACGCATATGCAAGTGCTTTTGTTGTTTTTTTTTGTATTCATGAATCTGCAGTATTCCAGAAAGCAAAGACTCTGTTGCTTTAAAAATAACCAACTCCCCCACAGTTTATGAAAGGCCTTCATGTTTTCTGTTGTGCAGGATAACAAGTGCTGAGCTTTACGTGTCTAGATGTCTTCTGCCTGCATTGAAGTGGCATTCTGATCAGTCTCTCTGACAGCCAACACAGCGGCTGTCAGCAGATGAATATCGCCTCCCCTTTCCAGCCAGCTCACTGTCTGCATGATGCAGACCCACGCCACCTCTGCGCTCTTCTTTTTTCTTTTTCCTACTCTTAGCCTACAGATGCTGGGAACTTTGCCATTGTGAAATGTTCACCTCTCAATCCAATCCATGTAATTGCTTCTTTCTGAGAATTAAATACTCAATAAAAATCCTAATTTTTATAATTCTGCTATGGTCACTGCTCATAAACAAGTTTTAAATTGTAAAGTACATTTATGCAAACACATGTAACAAAAAAATTGAATAGGGTGTTTTTAAAATGCACAAAAGAGCAATCCGGTTTATTTAAGATTAATTTGTTTTTGAAATATCAATCGAAAGTCGAGCTTTATAGCTTATACTCAAATCTTCACTGAAACCAGAGTGATCTCCCAGCCCATAACAGATTTTGCAAATCAGTCAGCACTTTCATGTCCTGCCTTAAAACTCAATTTTGTGTACCTTTGTGTACCTTTTAATCTTGTATGATTTATTGTATTCAGTTGTGTATACCTGTCTCTATCCTTTTATTAGAATGCACCTTGAGATGCAGTGTCATGCAAGAAATAAAGAAATAAATATCATTCAATTATTTATTTCTTATTCTTCTTATTATAAAGACGTTATTCAAAATTAACACATGTATTCTGCTGACCTAGCTATTTATCCATCCTTCTGTCCTGTTTTCAGTTTTAATTTTTTATTCACTGGCCTGATAAAAATATCAGAAAGCCTTGTCCTCTTTTATATACAGTAGCAGCATGAAGAGAGACACTTTCAGATACTGTGTCTGCTGTCCTACAATGCTCAAGAAAAAGGAATGTAATAGATTACTGCTTTTTCAATTTAAATCTTAGGACAACACAAGACCACGATTATTCATTTTATTACAGTGATGGTCTTTTCATGACACGTTCCACACAATTTCAAATTTGTCTCAAAGTTTTTAAGAGTCAATGCATTCACCCATAAATCAGAAACATAAACAATATATTGTGTCACTATGTTCATAATTAAGAAATATGCGTTTTGAAAAATAAGATGATTAAAAGGGCAGATAAGTCTGACAAGTTGAAATTCAGTCCATCAGTCAACCTGTATGGATCTTGAAAAATAACATGGATGAATGATAGAATTCTGGACTTTTTAATTCCACTACTCTTAAAATAAGTATTACCATTGTACAAATTACAGCATTTCCAATACACCTACTTGCCAGCAATAGTGTAGAGGCAATAGCTATACTAATCCAAGATGTAATTGCATTATCAGCAGAAGTGTATACAACTTTTTGGCAAGGCCCTTTTGGAATAGACAGTTTATGATTGAGAGGCTGTCTGTTTCTATTTGTATTCACTTGAAATGGCTAATGACGTTTCTGCTTCCTGAAATCTTTCCTTTAATGTTGCCAGACATGTTTGCTTTCTCTCTACACCAAATCACCCCGCCTCAAACAAGTGAGAAAATGTTTCATTCAGCTCCGCAAGGCAGAGCTTCATATTTTGTACACATTTATTTTAACAAAGGAACTCATAACATATTTACAAAACTGCTGTTTTAATCAAGTTCAGTGGAGCTGAAACTCTGGGGTCCAGAGATCTATTGCATTTGCAAGTCTTGCAGACAGTGTAAGGATCAAGCTGAGCACAAGTGTGTTACAGATTTGAGTGCATTTTAGTTTTGGATGGAGTCTCTATTCAGGCTTTCAAAATGTGTGAAGTCAGTTGTAAAACATTTTTACATAGGCTCACGCGGTAGGTAAGAAGCACTACTTGTCAACAGAAGTCTTCTAATCAGGACATTTTAAAGTCATTTTGTGTGTGCATGTATGCAGTACTC